TTCTTTTATCTATAATATAAAATTTAAATAAAAGGTATTAAATTTACGTGAATCAGTAATTAGGTTATAGTAGATCCACCTTTGATATTAAATGATTTGGGGATCTTCATTCACGCGAGGGAGTTGGGATTTAATTTATGTTTCGTATTACTGTGCTTTCTTCCGTATGTTGTGTAGTTTTGTTGTTCATTTGACACTATTTAGTTGTTGTTGTTATTTTCATTTCTATTCGTTTTTTTCAAACTGCTTTAAAAGGTTTTATTTAAGCCGAAAGGGTCTATAGGAAATAACTCCTCTATCTCACAAAGTAAGGATAAAATCTATATACCCTTTATCGTCCTCATAACCTATTTTCGAGATTATATTAAATATGTTATTATTGTCGATAATTTAGAATAATTTTACACCATCTCTATTTTTATTATACCCCATTCAATGTTTATCCAAAATATTCCCCCAGGCCCCTTGCCATGCTTTGACAAAAAGCTCTTCATTGTAGTAGTCCCCTTCTTTTTAATTTATTTGTCGTATTTTAATTGGATAAGAAATTTAAAAAAAAAATAATTTTATGATTTTAAATTAAAAACATATTAAATAATGTATAAAAAAAATTTAATCTTATAATCTCAAAATATTCTTAATTATGAAAAATTGCTTAAAAAAAAGAAAGACATTTTGTTAACGAACTTAAAAAAAATAAAACAAATAAATTAAAATGACGGGATCAAATACTTATATCATAATAAGTGACATATCGTTTTGTGCATGTTACTAATTGTTTTAGAAAGTTACATGCAATTGGCTCCAAAATGACTTGATAGTGAAATTTTTATTTAAATTATATTATAGTACTATATAGAAGTCATATGTCAAGAAAATAAATTAATCACATATGGATATATATGTACCATGTTCACGATTAATTATAATTTATATGACATTTTTTTTTTAGTTGATAAAAAAAATATCATCATATGATCTTTCTTCAATTTAAAAATAATTTGACTCTAAGATTTTCTTTCGTTCTTTAATAAAATTATTTATAGTCACACAAATTATCAGAAAATATTTTAAACAACAAATTTTAAATTAAAAATGTTATTTTCTCTTTTAAATTCTACATAAAATCATGCACCTTCCAAGTTAAAAACTATTTTTAAAAAAGTATATTCTTTTTTATTAAATCTTAGATCCTTTGTCAACAAAAATGTAGCAAACACATAAAATCTTGAGTCATCATAATATTTTTTTTTATATATATAAATATATGTCGACTATCAATGCAATTATTTGAACTTGGCATTATATTCCAACTTTGAAGGTATAATTCATATCTTTTCTTCCTAATAATGGAAAAGTGTTAGGTGTAATGCGTTTTTTTTAATTTAAATTTATACGTGTATGGTAGTAGTCTCTCACTTGATATCTTTTCTATTATTTTATTTTCCATTGAAAAAGGGTAAAGTTTAAAGAAAAAGACATGCATTAAATTATAATTATATTTTAGTTTGTCACTTAAAGTCTGAAACTCGTTTTAAAAGTTTGACTAATTTGAATTTGTATTCGGAGATCCTACTTTGAGAGTAAGATATTTATTATTAAAATCTTTCATTAAAAATAAAATAATATGTATCACTCCACACAGTAATCGTTGAAAAAAGAGGAATTTAAAAAAATTGAGTGATGTGTTATTGCTAGGGTGTACAAACCGAATTATTGAGTCAAACCGAATCGACAAATCAAATCAAATCGATTTGTGGTTTGATTTGATTGGTTTGGTGATTGAAAAAAAAATGACCACTCTTGATTTGGTTTGGTATTAGTTTATCACACACATAAGTGAAAAAATGTTTATCGCTTTTTTAAATGCGGTATAGTTGTAAAAAAAAAAAAAAAACTCAAAAGAACAGACTAAAATCAAAATCGAAAAAACCAACTTTATATGGTTTGATTTGATTCTTAGATTTGATAAATCGACATAATTGATTTACATTTTTCTAAATGAAAAATCAAATCGAACCGATCTATGTACACCACTAATTATTGCTATTGAATTATTTAACATTTTGAGATCTTTGTCATGGAGGAAACATAACACTTCTAGAATCTTTTTTTTAGACAAGGTATATTTCCAATATAATACAAAAAGGGGGGAAAAATTAGTGATGGATCGGATAAAATTTTTCCTTAATAATAAAATTAAACTCCTTGTTAATTTTATTTATAATGAACTAAGAGAAATCATAAAAAAAAATTCTAATAAATTTTATATTTAGCCATATATTTTCCTTTTGCATTTTTATAGAAGCTTCTTCTATTTTTGCTTTCTTAATAACTTAGAATCCTTTGATTTAACGATAGATGGGGAATGAATTTTATAACTAATTTTTTTAAGGTATATTAATATGTCATCTCAATATAATTATGCCACCTAGCTCTCCCTTTATAATTTAATTTGTTTAAATCTTTTTAAGACACTTTGTGCTAAGTGACCTTTTAATCAAAGTTGAATCATGAAATCATATTCTTTTTTAACAAAAGTGAATGAAAGGATATAAATATTTAAATATATAATGTTACATCTATTGATGAATTCTTTCTGTTTTAATTTATTTATTACATTTTCTTACACAAAGTATTGTATGAAAATAAAGAAGAATTTTGAATACTATGGTTATAAACTAAAAATATATCAACGTATCAAAATATTATTTAATTTCTTAATTTTAAACAAAAAAATCTTTTTTAAATGGATTATAAAGAACAAATTGAAATAAAATTAGAAGTAATAGACTCTTAGTTAAACTTTAAAGTGTGTGATTAACTTATCATTTTAAAATTTTAAACTATACTTTCATTATTTGATTACGTTTTTATTATACTATTTTATGCGGACGCACGCAAAAAACCTAATTGAAATATTTCTTGATAAAAATAAATTATTAAAGAAGAAAGAAGAGAATATTTAAGTTTATATATATATATATTGTATAATTTATGTATACCACTCTTAAAATATAGTGAATTTGATTGTTCATTTATATAAAGATCCTATAAGTTTGAAATTTGTTCACTATATCCTTGAGTACAACAATTAATTTAATTCACTTGATTTAATAAATACTTGGAACAGATACATAATTAATAATTTTGTTGAAATAGTGACATTAAATCAAATGTCATATTTAATTTGTAACCAAATAAAAATAAAAAACTCTTTGTTTATTCTTCTTTTTATATTAATCTGAAATGCACCAGCCGGAAATGTATATTATACATTCTATACATGCATAATACATATTATATACATTTTATATATATTTCATATACACTGGATAAGTGTACCTTGAAGTCCATACATACATTAGCAGATTGATACAGGCAGGGGTGTATCTATGCATATATTATGAGCTTTCACTCGAATTTCCATGACAAAAGATTATATTATTTATGTACAATATTTTTTTTCTCGATAAATTTTGATAAACCCAAAATGTTTTTGTTGGTTAAATATTAAGTTTGTTTTTCTTGATACATATGAAGATTTTGATTTTTGCTTCTTATCCATAAAGTGTGAAGACTTTGGTAAGTAGTTGTATATATACTATGGATTTGTATATATGACGAGCAAGATTTGGAGAGGGAGGAGAGAGGTGAATCAACTATGTATATTGGTAAGATAATTGTATATATACATATGCATTTGTATATATGGCAAGCGAGATTGGGAGAGGGAGGAGAGAGGCGAGCGAGACAGGGCAGAGAGTGGGAGAGAGGTGAATTGTATATGTATACCTGTTAGATAATTGTATATTATGCATATGTATTTTGTATATTCTGGCGAATTATTCATTTACAAATGTGACTTATTATACAAATTCGAGGTCAGTCCATGTACATAAATGACTCAAAATCAATATTAAAAAGGATAAATAATAATTTTACAAAAAAATGACCTTTCGAATCATTACAAAGCTTAACTATTTGATAGCTTTGATCTCACTGAAAATACTAACATAGCAAAGAACGCGAATACACACTATTTTAGGCGCGTGAGTAATGCAAACTATAGCATATTTCACATGCTTAGTACCTAAAAAATATGAGAATTTAGAAGGATGACAATGATAAAAAGAAAGTATAAATTTTAGGAATCAAATAGTTTTAATATGAAATTATAATCTATTTCTATTTAATTTCATTAATTTCTAAAAAGTAAAATAAATTGGATATAAAATATGTAACTCGAATACATTAAAACTAGCCTAGATATATTATAAATCGATTACATAATATATGGCTTGGACACATTAAAACCTTTCACGAATATATTAAAAACTAGTTTGGATACATTATAAATAATTTAAAATTAAGAAAGAAATAAGGAAGTTAAGAGATTTTTAAAAATAGAAAGAAATATTAAAAATAAGAAAAAAAAATAAGACGTAAGACGTGTATTTTAATAATTTTCTTATTTTTCTCGAATAAAAACAAATAAAAAGACAAAGACTTAAGGTCTTTTTTTATTTTTTTATATTTCTGATTATTTTTTTCATAGAGAAAGTGAGAAGCCAACAAAGTTAGGTTAGTTGGCACTCTCACCAACATCTCCTTTTGATAAAGTTTGGAAAAAAAGAAAAGAGAGGCTTTTATTTGAAAAATGTGGACTTTTTTGAAATTGTACAACTAGTCTATCAAATCGCTAGCAGTATCTCTTGCTGACTCGAACTCACAATTATTAAATTTTATAAAGTTATTTGTTATTTCAGTAACTCCTTTTTATCGCCTTGATCGATTCCGAAAAGAGGTCGAAAATATAGTTCATTCAAGGCTTCATGTAGAATAGGACATTGTCAAAATTATTTTCTAAGCTATTTAATTTACACCACACATTAATAGTGTCTATTCATTCTATAACATGAACAAAAAAGAAAACAAAACATTTTAATATTGTTAATAACTCTTCTTAAATATTTTTATATAGATATTAGTTATTCTTTATCTCTCGTACCAAAAGAAGCGCGACGTGGACCAAGTTTAGAGAAAGACCTTTGCACTTTTTATGTTTTCTCAATTGAGAAATTTGTCCATTTAACATAGTGAGTGTCTACTATTATCAACACAGAAAAGGAAGAGAAATTGCTTATTGAAAATCAGGAGTCGAATTTCGAATTAGTATAAAAAATTGTTCGATACGAGGGACAGAAGACTTGAAATTTGAGATCGAAATAGAGTTTTGAAAAATATTTTTCGTACTTAAAAGTAATCAGATCAGTTCTCATCCAGAAGAGTTGAGCAAAGTTGTGGATACAAAGGTATGGGAATAACTTTGATCTATTATTATTTTACACTTTATTTTCAGTTGTGTACTTTAAACTTAGCAAACAACCATTGATATGATTTTATTTTTTTAATCATAATAAGACTTATATTAATTGATGTTCAGATCGTGAAAAATAATTTGGGGAATAAAAAGTTAATACTAAGAGGTTAGAAGTGATAACAACAACAATATGCACACCTTACTATTACTTTGTGGATGGAGATAGAAAGACTATTTCTGAAGGAATTTGAGAATACAATGTTTGTTTTGATTAAACTTTATCGTTTAAATTCATCGTTGGTAAAAATGAAAAAATCCATTTTATGTAACGACCGATTTGGTGTGATCGCATTGTTACCTTCTTTCTCATTTTGTTTTTATTTATAATCATATTTCATCCTTTATCCTACATTTTCATAATAACTCTACCCTATTAACCTACTTTTCTTGTAGGCTTATAACTCATATTATGGATGTATGACATTATATAACGACACAGAACGATACAATCTATCCAAACACTGTATTCGTTAAAATAATACAGTACGATACAATGCAATACAAAATGAAACACTATGTAATAAGTTACTCCTTTGTATTACCCTATGAAAGATGTTTCTTTTTTTCGTGTTGTTGACGTCCCTTCGAGTTAGCTAGTTAGGGGTGATCAAGAAAATAAGAGAAGAGATATTTGCACTAGGTGATTTATAAGATTGAGAAATTATGAACTTGTGGCAATTTGTCCATTTAACATACTGAGAATGTTATTCTTTTGTGCAGAAACTATTATCACACACACAAAAAGAGAAAGAAAGAAATGGCTATTGTTGCTATTAGTTCCCTTATGATCACCATACAACAATCAATGCAAGTGACTGGATGTAATTTGGAATTGTTCTACGAAAAGCTTGCATCGTTGATAGCTGTTATGGAGAAACCTAGCAGCATAACAGGCGATCTCGAGGCATTGGCAAGCTTGGAATTACAAATCGTGGAGGTTGCATATAGAGCAGAAAAGGAGATTGACTCTAAATCAATAGAAGTTGTACGCGCAAAAACAGATACTTTGCGAGGCAGAGCTTTTTGGAAACTGAGTTGTTTCTTGGAACAAGTGGTAGAAAACATAGATTCCATCATGAAGGAGTGGATGGCAATCCGGGATGGGTGCAACAACATGAAAGAGTATATGATTGTCTCAGAATCGAGCAAAAGTTTTTTGGCAAAAACTGAAATGAGACAAGGACTAACGTTTTGGAAACGAGCAGTAGGACACGTTGATTCGATGATGAACAAGTGGAGAAAGAAGCAGAGCATTTGCACCAAAAGCAAAGATGTAGAAGCACAGAATTTGACTCTTGGGAGTACATCTCGACATTCCTTGGAGCATGAGAATGTGATGGTTGGCCATGAAAATGAATTCGAGATGATGCAAGATCAACTTACTAGAGGTGCCAGTGATCTTGAAGTTGTCTCAATTGTTGGAATGGGTGGCATAGGTAAGACAACTTTGGCTAACAAAATTTACACTGACCCGTTCGTTATGTCTTGTTTTGATAAACGTGCAAAAGTCACCATCTCACAAGATTATTGTGTGAGAAATGTACTCCTACGTCTTCTTTCTTCCATAAGTGGAAAGACTCATCAAACTTATGAGGAGCAAGATGATGGGCAACTAGCAGACCAGTTGCAAAAGCTTCTAAAAGGCCCGAGGTACTTGGTAGTCATTGATGACATTTGGACTACTGGAGCTTGGGATGATATAAAACTATGTTTCCCAGACTGTAATTGTAGAAGTCGAATACTCATGACTACTCGGAATATGGAGGTGGCTGAATATGCTAGCTCAGGTAGTCCTCCTTATCAAATGCGCCTCATGAATTTTGATGAAAGTTGGAGTTTATTGTATGAAAAGGTCTTTGCGAGAGGATTTTTCCCTCATGAATTTGAACAACTTGGGAAACAAATTGCATCAAAATGCAAAGGGTTACCTCTAATGATTGTTGTTATAGCTGGACTTCTTTCCAAAATTGGTAACAGATTGGATCGATGGAGAAGTGTTGCTGAGAATGTAAGTTCAGTGATGAACACAGATCTTGATGTCCAATGCATGAGAGTATTGGCTTTGAGTTACTATCACTTGCCTCATCACCTAAGAGCGTGCTTTCTGTATTTTGCACTCTTCCCAGAGGATAAATTGATTTTTGTGAATGAACTTGTGAAATTATGGGCAGCAGAAGGTTTTCTGAAGGTAGACGAGACGAAAAGCATGGAACAAGTGGCTAAACAAAGTCTAAAAGATCTTGTAGATAGAAGTTTAGTTTTCATCCAAAGGGTGAGTAGTTTTGATGGAAAAATAAAAGCTTGTGGAATGCATGATGTGATCCGTGAACTCTGCTTGAGAGAAGCTCGAAAAATAAACTTTGTGAATGTTATAATGGACAATCAAAATCCAAGTGAACAAGCCAAACATTTTTCAACAACGAGAGTTCGGATCAGTATCCAATCAAAGCAATCGAAAACTGTTGTCAATCGGTTGTCTATGGTTCGCAATGATGATTCCTGCTCTATTGTCCTTTCTGTTGATGATCCCTCAAGCTCAAACATGATGCAAGCATTGAAGCGTTTCAAGGTACTAAGAGTCCTAGATCTTGCTTCGTCGACTTTGAATGCTTTTCCCAGTTGTATAGTTGAACTGTTTCATTTGCGATACCTAGCTCTGAGTGTTTACTCGTCCACTGATGATCGAGGTATTGACATTCCACCATCAATAGCTAGCCTTCAGTATTTGCAAACTTTAATACTCAAGTCTCCAACATCTCTTGCGTGGAAGTATTCTCGCCCTTTCATATTACCATCAGAAATTTTCAAAATGTCTCAATTGAGACACCTCTCTTTAGACTGGAATTACTTGAAGCAACATGAGTCTATAGAGAGAAGTTGGCTTCTGAGAAATTTGCAGTGTTTGTCCGGATGGAATCCTTTATCGTGTACTTCTTCGATCTTTAGACTACTTCCCAATGTAAAGAAGTTGCAGATATATGGCATTCAAGAAGGCTACATAAGAAGTAACAAGGATGAGGTCTTCCATTCTCTTTGCTACTTAGATCAGCTTAAGGAATTGGACTTTAAGATGAAAAAGACAGCTATTGTAAGACCAATGTTTCCTACACGTTTGATTCTTCCTTCTATAGGTACATTTTTGAAGAACCTTAAGAAGTTAGCTTTTAGAGGTACTCGGTTGCATTGGAAGGATTTGGAGATTCTTGGTAAGTTGCCTAAACTCAAGGCCCTCAAACTAGGATATGATGCCTGCCTTGGTACTGATTGGGAAGTAGGTGAGGAAGGGTTTCCACACTTGAAGTTCTTGCGATTGAAGCAGTTGTACTTGCATAAATGGATAGCTAGTAGTGATCACTTTCCATGCCTTGAACGACTAGTCATTAACCGTTGTTGGAGCATGTATTCGATCCCACAGGACTTTGTAGACATAACCACTCTTCAGCTGATTCATGTAAGTGACTCTGCAAAATCTGTTGGGAACTCCGCCAAGATGATTCAGCAGGAAATTGAAGACAACTATGGAAGTTCTGTTGAGGTCTGTATCAGTTAGTCCTTTCAATTAAACCTATCTTTTTAGTTGATTTACTTAAGAAGGCCTTCATTCTCATTTTGTATTTTAGTACTTTTTTGTACTTCAAAGCTTATATGAGAAGTTAGTTCTGTTCAATCAATACAAACCAGTTGTTTACAATCACTATATGAGAAGTTTTCATTTCCTTCTTGTTTATACAAACTGTCACAAGTAATGTGATCTCTAAAATTTAGAAAATAGAAATCAATGCAAAGTACTTTCTTTTAATTATTTCTTGAAACAATTAAGTTAGCTTCCATCACATTTCCAGCTTGGTCCAGTCTTATATCAACCAGCTAGAAAGTGCAGCTCTAGTTTTTGTGTTATGCTTAAGCATATCCCGTGAGATATGTCATGTAGGATGCGTGCTTCTACTTATTTAAATTTATGATAGTTTAAGTGCATATTTGCGTACATTCAAAGTTGGAGCGCATATATATCAGCTGAAGCCAAGTTAAAAGGTACATTTATATATTATGTCAAATGGGATGAGTTGGAGTATATAGTTGTCGGTTGAGACTAAATTGAGATGTCTAGATGTACACTTTCGGAGTGTTCACTTGCCAGCCAGTTGAGGCAAGTTTGAAACAAAAACATCCAGCTAGAGACTATTTCGATGCATTGAAAAGCTTGGAAGCAGAAATCACAAAGGTATCATTCATCACAGAAGATACAAATATACAATTGATTTTGAATCAAGAGAAGTTCTCTTAGCAAAAAAATCGAATTTCACCAAACATAGCTGTTTGGCAACTTCATTTCCTCTTGAAAGGCGCATTGATTTGATCATGAAGCAGTGGATGGGAATGCCAACAGCAAAGATTTGAAACCACAAAATCTGACTCTCTCTAGTACATATCAACATGTCGTGGAGCCTGAAGATACGATGGATGGCCTTGAAAAAGAGTTCTAGCTGATGCAGGCAGGATCAACTTAGAAACTGTGTCGACAAGACAACTTTGGCTAACAGAATTTACAGTGATCCATTCATTATGTCTCCCTTTGATATCCGCGCAGAAACAACTACATTGTGAGAGAAATGTACTCTAAGACCTTCTTTGAATGCCATGACCAGCAAGGATGATGGGCAACTAGCATCCCGACTTCAAAAGCTTCTAAAAGGCAGAGTCATCGATGACATATGGACTACAAGAGCTTGGGATGATATAAAACTATGTTTTGTAGACTGTAATTCGGAATGTGGAAGTGGCTGAACATGCTAGCTCAGGTAAGCCTTTTTATCAAAATATGCCTCTATGATTTTTGCTACTTACATCAGCTCGAAGAATTGGAAGTTTATATTGCTAAGCCATCTATTGCTTTCTTTACAGAACCTTCAAATGTAAGTACTTCAGAAGAGCCTCTGGAGTCTTGGAGGCTGAAAATGAGGCAGGGTTCAACAACGCGTCTTCTAAGTACATATGTGGTTGTTACGTGCACAATGTATTGGAAATTCCGCCATGAAGATTCAACAGAACATTGAAGACAACAATGCAAGTTCTGTTGAGGTCCATATCATGAGTTATTAGCCTTGTAAGACGACATCTTCTTCCTCGATTTACTTCTTATAACAATTGATACTTGTAAGTTGCATCTGTGTTTCCAAATACTAACGCGAAAGAAATGATACTACATTTCATCCTTTATGTCTGGCTACTTTATCTACAGGATGAAACATGTAGGTGTGGTCAATGAAGCGCGTGAAAACCATGGGATTGTTATCTGTTCAAGGACGATTCACAATCTCTACTAGATTGTAACTCATCGCGAACATAATAATGACAATCTATTTCAGTATGTTTGGTTCGTTCATGAAAAACAAGACTGTAGACAATATACAAAGTTGTTTGGTCCGTTCTCAAAACGGTCATTGTCATTGATCATTTTTCAGCCTTTGCTGAAGAGCAAGACACAACAAGTTGACTTTATTTTCTCCACGTATAATTTGAATTGAAGATCGTTCTACCATACAAGTAAAATAATATTTGTAATGAACTACAATAGATAGCTTTGTTTCATATTCGTACCAATAGATATTTGTATCAATATTATTTCATTAATCTATCTGTTTTGAACTTCGATCGATTCATATTCATATCTATAAATATCATTTTAGTATTTAAGTTTATCCCTACTGATGTCAACAACTAAAAGTATAATTGAAAATCCTAGACTACATTAAAACAAAGGGGTGGTGGCGCTGTTGGCTAGCGCGTAGGTCTTATAGCAATTAGAGTAATCCTGAGGTCGAGATTTCGAGCCTCTCTCACCCCATTAATTTTTTAAAACATAAGTTTATGAATAATTTTACATAATTCATTAGTTTACGCTCCGATACTATATGGGATACTTGATACATGAGAATCACTCTAGATATATTTGATAGCAAATATATATGACTTGAAATTTAATATTTAATTATTTCAAACTATATTTTACATAATTCATTAGTTTACGCTCCAATACTATATGGGATACTTGATACATGAGAATCACTCTAGATATATTTGATAGCAAATATATATGACTTGAAATTTAATATTTAATTATTTCAAACTATAGGAAAGAATAGTAAATCTACTAAGAATGTTTATCTAAACACATTGCGTTAAGCAATTAAGTTGGTGTTTAATTTCTAGCCATCGTAGATCGAACTTAGGCCTAATGAGCATAATTTTTTTAGAAAGTGAAATCACGTTCAAGCAAACCTTGCTAATATTATGATATAAAAATATAAATCGTGTCCCCAAAAAAAAATTTGTATAATAAAAGACTTGAAGTGAGGCGTGTCCCCAAAAAAAAGTTTGTATAATAAAAGACTTGAAGTGAGGACCAAATACAAAATAGAGTCAAAAGTGCAAACATATTGGGCTGGTTTTTGTCTTAATTGCAGTAATTGGACTTGGGGATTTTTTCAAGCCCAAAAAAACATCACAAAATTTCTCTCTTTTTTTTCCCCACACACAGACACACAGTAGAAGCTTTAGCAGTCATCAAAGGTGAAGATGAAGCTGAAGCAATTAGAAAGTTATCTTGGTTCTCTTGAACAATTTTCAACCCCAAAGGTTCCCTTTTTCTTTATCTTTATACAAAATATACATCTTTATGCACTTTATTTCCATTTTTTATGATTCTTGATTACTAATTTTAGTAAAAAAAATGATCTTTTTTGCTACAACAGATTGAACTAGAACAATATCCTACTGGAGCCCACATTGCTTCTCGTATGCTTTACACTGTATGTAAATTCTCTATATTCTCACTTTTTTTTTTCTCTTCTTGTTCATATGCAGATACCCTCTTTTTTGTGTGTTTCTTTTTGAGTTTTGTTTAAAGGTTAAAAGGGTATCTTTATTTTTAACTTTTTGGGTTTTTTTTGTGAAAAAAATTTAATCTTTTTAGGCTGAGAATTCATTTGAGGATGTGAACAGTAAGGTGGTTGCAGATTTTGGATGTGGTTGTGGTACATTAGGCCTTGCTGCTGGCCTTTTGGGAGCCGAGTATGTATCTGTTTTTTGTTTCTTTTGTTGAACTTTAGTGTTGTGTGGAGATAATATGAATGATATTTGTGCAACCCCTGTATTATTGTTTGTAGTTATATTGGAGAAGTTATCAAGGTTAGTAGGTAGTTGAGCACTATCAAGTCCCCTTATTAGTATTGTTGTTATTACTCTCCTACTATTGTATTCGTTAATTTTAGTATTACGTGTTGTTTCCATTGCTTTGATTATCGTATTGGGCTTCCGCTAGCCCTTTGAGGATTGTTACTGCTTTCATTTTTGTATTCTCTTTTTCAAACTGCTTTGAGATACGTTATTTGAGCCGAGGGTCTATTGGAAACAACCTCGCTATCTCTACGAGTTAGGGTAAGGTTTGCATACATTCTATCATTCCCCAAACCTCACTTGTGAGATTACATGGGGTGTGTTTTGTTGTGCACGATGCACCCCAACATTGTTGAAGTTAGGCATTTTGCTAAGGGGGTTTAGGATTTAGAATATATGTATAAAATTGACATTTACCCATATATACCCTTCTGGTGAAGGGTATTCAACTAACCACCCTTTGGCATACGTAGCTCCGTTCGGATTGCTAGGGTTCTCTATGTATGCTTGTTCTTGACATAGTCTTTCTTGTGAACAGAAGTGTTATTGGGCTTGATATTGATGCTGAGTCTCTTGAGATTGCGTATGCAAATGCCGATGAGCTTGAGGTATTATTCGTTTATGTGATAACATTTTTTGCTTGCAAGGTTGAGAAAGCGTTCAAGGCTGAGTCTTTTACATTGGTTTTGATGGATATATGTAGCCTTCTGTGTTTCAATACATTTCTTGAACTGTTTCATCTGCAGCTAGACATGGATTTTATTCAATGCGACATCAGCAACTTAAAATGGAGAGGTATCTTTTTCACCTCACTTTTCAGCCCCGAAAGAAAATATCTCTCTTGGCTCATTGATATTTCACTATGTGTAGGTCAGATTGTTGAAACTGTGGTTATGAATCCACCTTTTGGAACACGGAGGAAAGGTGCTGACATGGACTTCCTCTCTTCGGCGATGAAGGTACGGTGGTGCTCTCCATATAATTGGTATCCAAGATTATATTATTTGCTCAATATCCTGTTTTGTTGTTTGAATTGGCACTGCGTCCCCGTCTATTCCTAGATTAATGTGTGGTTTTATTAATGTATCAGGTTGCTTCTCAAGCAGTTTATTCCTTACATAAGACCACAACTAGAGAAGTAAGTTCTTCCATACTATCCTGCCACAGCAAAGGGATTGATTGGTGAAAAAAACTATTTGTGTAGCATCAAATAGCTTAAATATGAACTTTCTTGAGTTTATGTGCTCATAAATTAAATTGCTGTCACTTCTCGATAAAAACATGATTCTGTGCACAAAAGTGCTCTGATGTAGATCGTGATTTGGCATTTGTCTATGGTCTTAACAGCATGTGAAAAGAGCAGCCTTGCGAGATTACAATGCAATAAGTGCTGAAGTTATATGTGAGGTACACATCGAAATAATCAGATTCAGCATTTTGCATGCTATTGATGTTGAGTGAAATTCTATGTAGCCTTATGAATGTTCTGTGCCTTTATCTCTCTCAATTGTAGCTTCGGTATGATGTGCCACAACTGTACAAATTTCACAAGAAAAAGGAGGTTGACATTGCTGTGGACCTGTGGCGTTTTGTTCCTCAAAGAAAGCAAGAAAGATCTCTCTAGTATTATAAAAATAGCAAGTATACAGACATGATGATGCATGTAAAATTAAGGAAACCCCAATTCTGAACTGGAGCAGGATGGATTCTCATGTTGTTGCAAGTATTGTTCTATAAAGGATGTAAAGAGTATTCCATACCATATCTGCGTCTGCAAACTACTTTGGCTTTTGGAGCTCTTAGTTCTACTCTATTAGCAAAGGATGAGAGACAATTGTGTCTTGAGTCACTTATATTCTTAGTTCCTCTGGCATTTTGTTCCTCAAAGAAAGAAGCAAGACAGATCTCTTTAGGATATTATGATAGTAGTTGAATGTTGTCTTGCTTATCCTTCCATACTAGTAGTATTAGTATTACTCTTGTACTTTCTTGTTTCTTCCATATATGTTACTAATCATTGTTCCTTGTACTTCGATCATCGTATTCTTTCATCCTAGTTACTGTTTCTTTTTTCTTTTTTTTTTTCATAATGCTTTGTCATGCCTTGTTAGCATTTTGCGTTTCTTCATTCCTTTTAATTTCTTGAGCCAAGGGTCTATTGGAAATAACTTCTCTACCTCTCGAGGTAGTGGTAAGGTCTGTGTATACACTATCTTTCCTAGACTCTACTTGTGGAATTAGACTAAGTTGGTTATTGTAGCAATATGCAGAAGAGATGCTTGTAAAATCAGACACATCTATCGATATGACTATTTTACCATACTACCCCTTTTAATCGATGTTTAGTATTAGGTCTTAAGTAATTAATGTTAAGGTAAAACATGAAAAAAATAATACTTCGTCTTATGAGAACCATACAACAATCGATGGAAGTTGCTCGATATAATTTTCAATCTTTCTGTAAGAAGCTTGAATCCCTTAGAGGAGAAATGGTTGAAATCCAATTTCAAGAATACTTACTTTTTGGGAACTTCATGTTCTCTTGAAACAAGTAGTAGCGCGCGTTGATTCCAGGGTGAACAAGTGGATGGAAATGCAGTACATGTACACCAAAAGCAAAGATGCAGAAGAACAGAACTTGACTTTCGCCAGTAGTACATCTCAACATGTTGAGGCGCCAATGGTTGGCCATGAAAATGAACTCGAGATGATGCAGGATCAACTTGCTAGAGGAGCAGGTGAACTAGAAGTTGTCTCAGTTGTACTTATGGGTGGCATTGGTAAAACAACTTTGGCTAACAAAATTTACAATGATTTTCATTCATTATTGTGCAAAAGCCACTGTTTCAGAGACTGATGAATCTGATGATGAGTGCTCTTGTTGATAAAAGGAGGTGTGCAAAATCTGTTGAGAATTCCGCCAAGCAAATTCAACAGGACATTCAATACAAGTATGAAAGTTCCGCTGAGGTCCATATCCTCTAGCCTTGTAAGATATCACCTTCCTTCATTTACTTCTTACGTTCCTATTTTTCTAGGCATGTTTAACAGTTCTTTAGCCATTCCATTTTCAATGTCAGTTGTAATGCTCTTGTATTTACTTTACACTTGACAGTTTGAAGTTCAATAAAAGACAGTTCTTCCTATTCAGTTCTTCTCATTTCTGCAATTTTAGCAACATACGAAACTACAGAAAGTCTCAAATTTGGAAAAGGGTGCTTGTTTTTTCCTACCTAAACAAATGTTCATCCTCGAATGAGTTTAGAATTGTACCTAAGCTGTCAAGCAGTTTTGGATAGTCTCCCAAGTAGCTTCCTCAACCAGAGGATGATTTCATTGCCCTTTCACCGAAGCCAATCTCTTCTGACCTCAACTTCTAGACTTGTCTGTCTAAAATAGCCAGACTCCTCCTTAAATGTAAGATTCTGATAAAGCTTCACCTTATCCTACTGTAGCATGTGTGACATATACTCGTGATGTTTCTTCAAACATATACACATGAGAATGAAATCACAATGAACACTTGTTAATCTAGATGGCAAAACAAACTCAAAAGCCACCTCCCAGTACGCCGTAAAATTAGAATATCTATGCAGAATGTAGATATCTCTAATAGTATCCAGTTTTATCTACATGATTCCTCCTCCGTACATGTTTATAGTTATATATTTATAGCTTAAATCATCAACTAAGACTAGCTCTTTTCAATATAATCTACATACTGAAATTATTGGAAAGAAAGTATACTCAGTATGAAGTATCGATTAGCTGTTTTTGTAACGAAAGTTATATATATATATCAATACATATAGCTATTATGAACTAAAAATCAGCATAGACCTTAACTTGAATACCCGAAGTTCTGTAATCAAATCCTACTCAGTTGGTAACTTGTCTAGAAGCGATTATTTTTCTTCTTCTGTAATGCCTTTTACCTCGTTGCTTCTTTCTAATCCGCATAATAAGTTTGTGTTCCAACTCTTCCATGATTCTTGCTAGCCATTTTGGAGTTCGAGTTGAGATCATGAAATATATTATGGATAATCCAATACATATTCCACTTCCATAGCCCATAAGAGCAGCTTTCCAAAAATCATTCAGAAACTCCGAATTGCTTTCTTGTTCGTCTGGTGCAGATATGGTATAATTTGTTTCTGATACCTGATCATTACCACAACCTTTTGAAACTGGCAATCCATGCAATCCATCATTACCTTCATATGAATTTTTCTGAAATGTATTAAACTGAGGTCCTCGAGGAATGCATCCTTCAAGATGATTGTAGGAGAGATTTAACACTGCAAGAGTTGTTATCGAAGCAAGTTGTTCCGGTATCTCTCCAGAAAGGTGGTTGAATGAAAGGTCAAATGATTCTACTACCGCTAAATTTCCAAGTGATGGCGGTATATGACCTTGTAATCCATTGTTAGACAAATTCAACACCCGAAGTGCAATGAGATCTCCCATAATACTTGGAATAAGTCCTTCAAATTTGTTAGTTGAAAGATCCACACTTGTGTATAAATACAAGATTTTCACAACTTCAAACTTGCGTCCCTTCGTTACAACAACTACCGAGTCTTGGTAATAGTTTCCTCCTGTAAATGGATCTTTCCTTGTTTGATTAGTTGTCTTCATGGCTTTCAAATGTTGAAATAGACTTGTCGGCAAGTTTCCTGTGAAGGCGTTCTGAGAGAGATCTAATATTTGAAGAGCAGGAAACATGTTTCCAATCCTTGAAGTTCTAATGGGTCCATGAAATTTATTTGATCTCAGACTTAAAACCTGCAACATCGATAGAGTTCCCAACCACACGGGGAATGTATCATTGAGGTGATTATCACTTAAATCAAGAACAAGCAACTCTTTACAATTGGCTAAAGATCGAGGGATTTTCCCTTGTAGTTCATTTCCATGAAGGTTGAAGGTTCTAAGTGAACATCCAATATCAAAACTTGTTGGAAGAATCTCAGAAAGACTGATATTACCCAGACTGCGGAGATTAGAAATGCTTTCAGGCAGCTCACCACTAAGCCGGTTGGTGTTGAGGTCAAGGGTTTGAAGAGATGTCAATTTGCCAATCTCAGAAGGAATGGTTCCACTGATGTTGTTCCGAAAAAGAAGCAACATCTTTAGATTGGTCAGGTTTCCAATGGTTGGAGGTATTGTGCCTGAAAGCTGGTTGTCAGAGACATCTAGCTCCAGCAAGTTTTGCAACTTACCAATCTGATAGGGAATGGAACCTGTGAAATTGTTACGAAAGAGGTAAAGATATATGAGGTTTTTCAACTGGCTGATTTCAGGTGGAATTTTCCCTGAAAATGAATTGTTGTGAAGAAGCAAAGATGTCAGCTCAGTCCAATTGGTAATGAGATATGATTGAACCTCACCAGAAAGAAAATTATCAGACAAGCGCAAGGAAATTAACTTGGTCACCGCGGACAAGGATGTAGGCAATGGTCCTTGCAGGGCATTCTCTGCTAGAGCCAAGTGAGTGAGGTTAGTACAAAGGCCTAGCTCAGAAGGAATGATTGAATTCAAACCATTATTTCGAAGATCAAGTTGTCGTAGATTTCTAAGTCTACCTATAGAAGATGGAATCTTTCCTTGAAGTGAATTATTGGAAAGTACGACAACTTCAAGACTACTGATCAGACCAATTTCATCAGGAATTATGCCAGAAAACATGTTGAAACCAAGCTGAAGTTCTTTTAACTTGGTCAACTTGGTAACATTTGGTGACAATGAACCTTGAAATGAATTATATGAAAGATTGAGTTGTTCAAGCTTGTCCAAGTTGGTGAATAGTGTTTCTGGGACTGAACCATTCAAATGGTTAAATGACAAATCGAGGTAAGTCAGATTATGGCAACGCAGTACAAATTCAGGGAATTCTAATTGAAGTTCATTGTAACCAAAGCTCAAATATGTCAACATAGGCATATTCCTCAATTTTGACCACTCAGGAGTTTCTAAGAAATTCAATCCAAGATCCAAGCGCCATACCTTCTGAAGATTGCTTATTTGGTAGGGAATAACACCAAAGATAAAGTTTTTATAGAAACTAAGATATTCAAGTTGTGTTAACTTCCCAATCTCTTCTGGTATGACATCCGCCAAGATATTGTTGCTCAGGTCCAAGAAAGTGAGCATAGAAGCATTGCCAATATTTGATGGTATCGATCCACTGAAGTTGTTTCCATTGAGAGAAAAACTTGTGAGACTCGGAAATGAAGTGAAATCAAGCTGATGAAGTGTGCCTGAGAGACCTGCATCAGAAAGATTGATCTCTGAAATTGTTCCACCAGCATTGCAGACAATAGACGTCCAATTGCACAAGTTTCCGTGATTGGAAATGGACCATGAATCCAAGAAAGAAGCAGAAGGTAAGTTCATCTTCCATTTGACAAGAGCTTGAGCTTCAGTTTTTGCTGCTGATGTGATTGTCAATGGAAGTGAAAAAAGAAGAAGCACTAGTAGAATGTAAAGGAAGGTACTGTAAAAAGTTTTCATGTCTAATAGGTGTAATACAACTTTTTTGAGATTTTACATTGCAAGGGTTCCCATATATAGATATAGAAATAGAGAGAGGTGGACCTTAATTTTTTCGTGGAAGAACCATACATATCGAAGATTCATGCATAATTTAGATTGGTATGAGTACCGCGTTAGAATTGGCCCTACCAGTACCAGAAGTGATAATAAAAGTGGGAATGTTGTTACTAGAACGAACGTTAAGGATTGAAAGGAGGCTGCACAGTGGAATTTCAATGGTGAGGTCAGTCTTGGAATAGACATCTCCTTTAGTTGTGAAACATTAGAAAGTTGTGGTCACTGGTTAAACTTTGAAATATTGGCCCAACTCACATGTCCTTTTCTTTAGCACTAATATGGTACCACCATGAATCAAATTGGCAGCATATTTATCATTCAAAGTCGAGTCCTTTCTTTGACTCTGCACTAAAAATCAAGGAAAACTACACACAAACTTCCCACAAGGTAAGTACTCATCTAGCTACAAAATATTTACTCAACTGCTCATGCTTTGTGTGACATTAGCGTGGCGTCATGCTGGCATACAATGGAAGATCACCGTCCATCGTCTCCCAACATGCACTTAACCATTACATCATGACGAAAACATTAAGATAGAGACCATAGGCAGATGTTAAACTCGACGTAATGACCAAACTATGATCATATTCATGTCATCTTCAGAAAATTAAAAATGAAGAACATAATGACTTTCAAAAAGTAATATTAGCGATTAAGTTCAATATGAAGTAAGCAAAACATGATCCCATTCATCAGAGTCTAAAGGTCCTAAAGCTGCACACAACCAGCATTTCACTAAGTTCAATACCATCTTGAAACACAAAGTCTTGCATCCACAGAAACAAAAGAAAAGGAGACTCAAATAGTTGTGCCTCCGGTTTGATGCAACATCGCATCAATTTCATCACCATCTTCCATCTCCAGCTGCAAAAAGGAGGAAATTTGTAAGAAGGAAATAAATTAATCACAATTGTTATGGATAACATCAAGCAGATGCACAACCCTCTTCTGGTACTCTTTTTGTGTGTGCACATTTAGAGAGAGAGAGAGAGAGAGAGAGAGGGAGGGACCTCATCTGGAGTCTGTTCTGCTCTAAGACGACGGCCATCAAACAAGAAGGCAATTGAATTAAAATCCACAGACTGTCGGTCACAATAAGCATTCATCAATTTCTTCAGCTGAGTGCTTCTTTTAATCCTAAAGAAGACTTCATTCCCGTCCTGCAACCAGAAAACTAGTCAAATACATAGTTCTCTCGTCATTTCCTCCATATCATTGATACATGAGAAGGCTATTTTCCAGAAAATTTTAGTGAGCTGCCCACCTTCATAATAACAGTAAGGGATGGAAATAAAAGATAGGACGAAGAAAGAAAAAGGTCCGCCAGTAACTTTTTCATCAACTACATAACAAAATCAACAAAATTGCGTATGATATCAAGTTATATAGCCAGAATGAACTGTGTATAGTCAAAAAGAAACATTGGTGATCTTGCAATAGAAAGTGAATTTCAAAAAGCTCAAGAAGTGGGTATATCACAGGTTATTGGCGTATCATGAAGACAAAGGCAGATCACAACTTGGTAACAACCTCAACTAAGGGCAGATAATTAAAACAGGCATTACCAAAGTTTACCGTTGATGACTGAGAAACTAAGCCAGTAATTGTCATAATCTTTTGCAGTATTTTGTTGAGCTAGACCAAGATAATCTTGGTTTAGCATTGACGGAAAATAACAGTGTGAATCTCGAGAAAAGATAATATACCTTGACCCAACATGACAATTTATAGGGGCTCTCTCTGAACTTAGAAAACTGTAATGAGACAATAGACTAAAATCTAAATATGTACAACTAATATTTTTCTAGCTGGCAGCTTGTAAAGCATTAGTACAAAGTCGAAAAACCTCAGTATTCCCAATTTGGGATTACTTGTTGGTATGTTTTTACTCTATCTTCCGATCTATTTTCTGTTTCTAAGGATCCTTTTTTATTATATTTTTTAACTTTTTTAACCATATTGTAAAATCAAAACAAATTAAGTGTAAATAAGCATAATCATTCATTCATTCAAATTAATAAATCAATCCAACACTACCTCCAAGGTGAAGGTAAGATCTGCATACACTTTACCCACCCCAAACCACACTTAATGAGTAAAAAGAAGGATTTTTTCCATTAACCAAGGAAAGAAGTAGCAAAGGAATATCGCTAACCTTAAAGCAGTGTAAATACGCATAATCAAGCATTCATTCGAATCAATCAATCAATCAACACTATCTCCAAGGTAAAGGTAAGGTCTTCATACACTTTACTCTCCCAAGACCACACTTTATGGGTAAAAAGAATTTTTTTTTCCATTAAAGGAAGGAAGTAGCAAAGGAATATACCTGACCTTAATACAGTGAAAATAAGCACAATCAACCATTCAATCACACTACCTCCAAGGGTAAAGGTGAGGTCTTCATACACTTTACCCTCCCAAGACCACACTTTATGGGTAAAACGAAGATTTTTTTTTTCCATTAGCCAAGGAATGAAGTAGCGAAGGAATATAGCTGACCCTAATACAGTGAAAATAAGCATAATCAACCATTCAATAGCACAACCTCCAAGGTAAAGGTAAGGTCTTCATACACTACTTTACCCTTCCCAGACCACACTTTGCGGGTAAAAGAAGGATCTTTTTTCCATTAGCCAAGGAAAGAAGTAGCAAAGGAATATCACTAACCAAAATACAGTGTAAATAAGCATAATCAACCATCATTCATTCAAATCAATCAATCAACACTACCTCCAAGGTAAAGGTAACATCTTTCATACACTTTAACGTCCCCAAACCCTCAATTTGTAGGATTACACTGTTGTTGTTGTTAATCAACAACCCCACAACCCAAAAACTAATCAACTCAATTATATACATCTACCCCTCTCTATTTAACCCAATTTTTTTTCAAAATTGAAAAGATTCATATAATTATTCTTATGCTACTCTATAAAACCTACTCCAACCCTCATTTTCTTCATCGACAAAACCCTAATTAAATTATACACGATAGAAAACAAACCCTAATAAGATGATTAAAAAAAAAAACCTGGCTTTTGACTTTGAGATTGATGTGACCAGACTGATCGCCGGCGGGCTTCTTGTCTTCCTCCCCTCCTGCTACTCCCGACATTTTTTCCCTCTTTTTTTCTTCTTCTTCTCTCTCTCTCTGTTAATGGAGAATAATGAAATTAATGTAAATTGATGGTCTGGTTCAATCGTTATATAGTAGAAAAAAAGTTCAAAATGGTCCATCAAGTTTAAAGTTTGTCATAGAAAGACGCGCTAATTCTTGACGTGCATACGTAGACACCTTAATTCGTTATTTACATCGTCTAGTAGGTACTCGACGCTGATGTGACATATAAATTTTGAAAATGTCTAGGTGATCCATGAAGAATAACAAAAGTGAAACATTTATTTGTAGTTGATATCAAGTTTAAGGATCTACTGATGCGTTATATTTTAAAGTTTTTTTACTAAAGTTAATGGTGAAGTGAGTATTGCGCCTATATTTTTAGTTAAAGATCTTGATTTCAAACAACACGTGAGGAACTTCGAAAAAGAAAAAGAAAGAAAAGTAGGAAAATTTTAAATTTTGTCTATAAATTATTACTTGTTTTTTTTATTTTGGTCATTGTATATTAACCTAATGTTTGAATTAAATCATATCAGAGTTACTTGTCCTTTGGTTCACATGCTAGTTATACAAGATATCATTATACCTAAATACTAACTTTACAACAATATTTTGCCCTTAAATAGTTTTATTTCTCACTTAGCTATAACACATTCTTATTTTAAATTGAAATGAAATCTTTAGGATAAATCAATTTGCGTAATTTAGGAGGAATCAATGAGAGGACATCAATTCAAATACTAAGTTCTCGAATCGGTAAACGATATCGAGATCAAGAATTCTCGCCATTTCGTAGATTCATCGGACAAACTCAATCGAAAAATCATGCAATTAAAGGAAGAAAAGGGAGGTAAATTAACACAAAATCAATTTTGTATAACATAACAAGATTTTTTTTATTTAACACACGTATATAAATCAAGCCCTATGTTTAGCTATGATTTTGTTTTGGTTCTGCAACCATAATTGTTGTTCTTGCATCAAATTCTGCTCATTCTTGATGCCATTAAACATCTGATCACTACTAGAAAATGTCGCGAACGGATCGTCCATATTAGTACCCTGCATTGGCCCTGTAGTGTGATTCTGAGCACTAAAAGTTGGAGTTGCTTGAAATGTAGGTGCTGGTGCTGATGATGTGAACATGTCAGTAGACGTTGGAAATGAAAACGAAGAATTCGTGGTCAGAGTTGGGTACGGGGCAGGTGCACTCGTGACCGGTACCATAGCCAACTCCATTGATGTGTCTTGAAGAAATGGATTGTAGTGTTGAGGTGCTGGAGTTTGATCATACAGAAAGTTGTTTGTACTATGGTTGAAATGTGAGTTTTGGCTATTATTCGGATAAAATGGCGTTTGATTCTGATTGTACAAGTCATCCAAAGTGGCGAAACTGAAGCTGTTAACGTTGTTGTTGTTCGTTGTACTAGGGACAACGGGTTGTGTTGATTGTGCTTGTGGAATGTTTTCGAATAGTACGAGTTCCCATCCATTGCTTGAAGAAACCTCTTCTTCGTTTGTAGGTACATTCACTTGTCCTTGTTCAGGGAACGCGTTGAATGATGCTGATGGTGTTATTACCCCTCTCGTTTCGTTTCTTGACAAATGATCTGGTTTTGGTTGCTCAGGGAACGCGTTGAAGGACGTTGATGGGATCGCCTCAGTTAACACGAGTTCCCATCCTTTAGCTGAACTAATAGAATCTAATGATGGATTCTGTTTGTGGTGTTGTTCAAGTTGAGCTTCTTGTTTTTTCTCGTCGTCTTCATCATATTCATGCAGATCTGGTAAGGATACAAGATCAGCCATGGAGTTTGACACAGGCAACGAATGAGTAGACCCCGACTCATCCTTTTCATGCAACTGCTTCTCAAATTGAATATCTGAATACGCCTCCAAATCAATCGAAATATTAGCAGGACTCTTCCATGTTTCTGTTGCACTTATTAGATCTTCTAATGATGTGCAACGCGAATCACCACAGGTATTGGCACTCTTCTCCGAGTATGGCTCAGTCGTTCCTGTGGTCATAGAAAAGTCTGATTGACAACCATAACTATCACGTTTACTGCTCGTGGTCCTTGTGGAACCACCACCGGTGCCTGGAAGAAGCAAATGTGGTTTGCTTTGCGTATGAGCTGGAAACGAAGATTGATCCTTGAGAAACTCTTGCAGCGTTTCGATCAATTCCTCTGATATTGTTTGCACACTTGGATATTCGGATGTCCTGCCAACGCCTATGGTTTTACAGACAGAGTAAAATACACTGATCTCCTCGAATTGTTTAGCAGC